TCAAGGAAATTTCCTGAATGGGCACGAACTCCATTCAGAATGTTTTCTGATTTTTCATCCTAGCAATAATTGCCCAACATTTACGTACATTCTAAGGAAAACATGTACAAACATGATAGCGTGTAAATTCAATGATATACTTTTAAATTTTTAGGTATTCTCACATAAAATAGTTTCAATACAATGTCAATCCAATCGAAAAAAAATAATAAAATATTTGGAAAAATTTTCAATAATTGACAAATGTAAACTTAAAGGAATGATACGCGGCCAATTTTTGCCCAATATGTCTCAAAATAACATCTATGACGTGGTGCATCCAAAATAGCTTGATAATAAATTCGTAGAAATGCAAATATGCTTCATAAATTTTTTTGAAAATTTTTCGCGATTTTTTGAACCTTTTAAACCTTCCCTGAAGCTCCACTAACATTTCAAGACTAGGATAAGAAAAATCCGTTCAGCCGTTTTCGAGTTTTAGCGAGACTAACGAACAGCAATTCATATTTATATATATAGATAGATATATGTATATACTATATATACAGTGAGTGTAATAAGTATTTTGCCTCAATAAAATTTTGAAAAAATTCCAATATATACGCCTAAAGGCAGCAAACTTAAGATGTAAAGTGAATTATGTATGATGGAGTACGTTTGTGGACATATTTAGATCGTATTTCTGCAAGAATCACAGCGAAAGACCTATTGGTCTCGAAGATATCGACCGAAATATGTAACAATCCAAAAATGTTTATCACAAAAAAGTATTTTGTTCTTTATTATTATTTTAGAAAAAATTGTTACATATAACACGTTTGGTCTTTTTATAGTTACCATTGTGGGTAACGACATACTATAAGTGATTTGGCAAAGATTCCAATAAACCACGGCATTTTTTCGCGAGTATTTTCTCACATTTACGTTCAATACATTCACCAGCAATATTTCATTTAATATTCGGTAATTTCTCATCCTAATCTTAAGATGAGAATATTAAACATAGTCATTGCGGCTTCAAAACAAATACTTTTTTGTGATAAACATTTTTGGGTTGTTATAGATTTCGGCCGATACCTTCGAGACCAATAGGCCTTTCGCAATTATTCTTGCAGAAATACGATCTAAATATGTCCACAAACATATTCCATCACACATAATTCATTTTACGTCTTTAGTATGCTGGCTTTAGACGTATATATTGAAATTTTGTCAAATTTGTATTGAGGCAAAATACTTATTACACTCACTGTATATATATGTATATATATATATATATATTTTTTTTTTTAATGGCCTGTACTTCCCAAAAATACCGAAATTTGAAAGGTACCCTTGCATATGGGCTACCCTAAAAAAGGAATCACAACTTTGATCACTTCCTAGACCCACCTCTTTGTATACCGATCGTCATATATCGACTAACAGAGTCGACCTAGACATGTGTGTCAGTTCGTCTGTCCATTACAATTTGTAAAACGATACAGACCGCAATTATGAGCGATACAGACCACATCACGAAATTTTTCATCTAGAACAAGTTCTGGCCAAAGAAGAAATCTATTGCTTTTTGGTAATGATCGGTTAATGGATATTGTTTAGTATTACTATTACCACACTAGAGGGTGAAAATGTAGCGCTGGAGACTAGGAAATTATCATGAAGTTAAACGCCACATTTATAAGACGAACATCACTAATTTTCTATGAGGATGGCGGTCCGACCGACTAATTTGAATGGAGGTTCATTAGTCAATATTTATTTGGCCAAATAAAATTTGAATTTGAATCTTTTGGAGTAATTTTTACTCCAAGAAAACATGATTCGGAAAATATGGAAAACCCCAGATCCGCAGAAACATAGAGTTCGGCGGCAGTTGTGTAGGGTATTTTCAAAGCAGGGGTTTTATTCTAAATGTTAGAATCAGACACTTGTTATTTTATAATTAGAATTCCAAAAACTTCTTCAGTGATTTGTAATTTATTATTTAATTAATTAAAAAAATTAAACCTATTGTTTAAAACATATTGAAATAAATTTATTTTAATATTTAATTAACGAACACATAGTTCCATCCGGTCAATATTGAAGACTTAAATGTTATTAATGAAACCGGGATGTGTTTTTTTTTCAGCTGATTGTTCTATTGTTTGTTACTGTTTGACTGAAGTAGGCAAATGACCTTGACATATTAAATATGTTTGTTTGACTAATATAATCCGTTTACATAAGTAACCAAAAATAGGAAAGAAAAAAACAAAGTTATTCTCAAACATAAATATTTCTTTTTTAATATAAATATATAAGGAATACAAAATGAAGACAGAAAAAAAGATTCAGTTTGGAATGTATTTAAGATTTTGTTTATTAATTTGCATAATTAACATGACATTGTTGTAAGAAAATTAATATTTCATTTAATAAATCATTTCGATACATAATTTCATCAGGTTGGTTCATAACTTGTTTTTTATTCGATATCCATCTAATAGTTGAGACAATTTAATTTCATGTGATTATCATTCCGACATGGGTAAATACACAAAAAAGAAATGCATAGTTAATTAATATTTTTCTTGTGGTGGAAATATTTACTCGCTTTGTTAAAAAGAAAGAGTTCGGTGTTCACACCATGTTGCAAAGGCTGTTGCATATCTCTAAATCAATCATTTTCAATTCAACAATATAATAATTAACCAAATACAACTAATTTGCATATAAACATTTTATCTATGAATATATCGTTTGGCGGTGGCGACCTGTTGACAAAATTAGTTGCGGTAATGTAATTTGAAAAACAAAACACACACACACAATGTCTCACAAACTAATCAAGTTTATAGTATATAAACAAATATTGTGTATTATAAGTGCAGCACATTTTTCAAATGATATTTAATTATTTTTTTTTTAACCGTTTGATGCACAACGTTCGAAATATTTGTTTAAGCGACGCTATATAATTTCCAAAACTTCCAAACCAATATACTTCAGAAATTTTGCACACAATCGGTTTGTGTGTGTGTAATAACGGACCGGTAATGATCGGCCTATACCATCAGCCTTATGGCTAATGAGGGTATATACACTTTGATACGGTGAAAATGTCCCTCATCGAAATATTGGTTTTAGACACCATATTTCATTGGACCAAATCCGTTTCAGAAAATTTGGAGCCGATTTACACATGTCTGTGCGCACGATAACACTCGAAGGGAATAATCAGTTTGGTCCAAACTTTGAATATCTTAATAACTTTTGCAAACTTAGTTTATGTGCGAAGATGAGAAATACCGGTCCACTCCTTCTGGTATCTCCCCCACAAACTGGTAAAAATTGGGCTAAAAATTTATTTTATAAGAACATGAAAACGGACTATCCGATTTTAACGAAACTTTGTACAACATATTATCTTTACCAACCCTTGATCATGTTGGAGGATGGGACACATAGGACCCACTACTTCTGGTACCGATTTCGATTTCTATCAATTATTATGGATTTTTCTAACAATTCGACAAGTATATATCCTTCGTAAAAGGTGTTTTTTTATACTCTAACCACATTGTGGTGCAGGGTATTATGTTATTGTGCATATGCTTGTAACAGGCAAATGGAAACGAGATAGGCACATGGTTCCGTCCATCCTCCATGTATTTTTGGGAGCAAAGCACAGGTCGTATTTATGATCCGAATTGGTCCATTTATTTGGCCGAAGGACAAACCTTATTAAAGTTTTGAGAAAATCGGTTATGATTTAGGTATAGCTTCCATATATATTTTCGTCCGATTTTATCTAAATGGCGCGCTAAACTCCCAATATTTGTCTTATTGAGATAAAATTTTGAACTGCGTACTGATTTGATGTCCAGTTTGATGTCTATGAAGTTTTGTAAAAATCGGTTCAGATTTAGATATAGCTCCCATATATAGCTTCGTCCGGTTTTATGTAGAAGAGAACAGCACATTTTCCTTACACTGATGTATTTTCCGAATATTACAAATATTCAGTACAGCCCTTCATGTTATTGTCCAGATTCATTTTACCGTGGGTTGTAATTTCAACCGATTTCAACAAACCTTCGCATACATCTATCTGGACCTCACTCAGTACTCTGCCCAAAATTTTTTGTTCGATTGTAATAATTAAATTTGAGTAAGTCACTCTCCACTTTGGAAGAAATTAATTAACGATAGGATCCGGGCAAAAAATATAAAGTAGAATGTATGCATCCAAGTGAATTAAAAATAGTTTTCTGACTGTCTCGATCCTCTAGGCTCTAGACAAAATATTTGTTTTATTTAGAATTTAAGCTGTCGATACTTTTAGTCAAACTTTATTAACACAATGTCCAGTAATAAATTCCCTGCTCGAATGTATTGAACCGAGTAATATTCAAAACTGAGTGTCTCCGAATTTTTACATTTCATACTGTGTGCTTAGTAAAAATAAGTAACTAACACCACCAACAACAAAAAGGCTAATCAATCTTTGGTTATTTTTACGAATGACAGAGCCAAACTACAAATTAAATATTTTCTTGTGGTTTAGTCGGCCCGTTTAAAACAAAAAGAAAATGATTAGCATAAATATGCATTTAATTATATTTTGTGGACAGAGATATTAAATACCGGTTTTCTAAACAAAAAACAAGCCCCATACGAACTCTGTAAAAACATTGTTAGGATAGGTCAGGATTTATTGTATTGTTCGGTCAAAATGTTGGAATTTACGCTAACTTTATTTTGCAAAAAAAAAGAATGAACAACTTGAAAAAAGCCGCCACAAAATAAAACCCTTACCATGTTTATCCATTCAACGTTTTTGTCATCAAATGTCTAGGGTCTCTATCTACACACCAGAAATTCCATTTCATTGTAATTAATAACAAAAATAACACACACAACCATTAATACATAATCTCTGAAAAACCTGAACGAAACCCGTGGGTCTGCCCATATCAAACAATAATGATGTCTATTGTCAACATGAATTGGGTGGAAATTTAGTATAAAGGTCGGTGCCTGTTTCATTGGAAGTCATAATCAAGTCAACACTTCATCAATTCGGATTACTCTGCTAAACACACGTGAAAATGCGTACTTTTGTGGTAAGCATTCCAGGCCAACGGTCGCTACAGGAAATAGGAATTAATATTATTTTTTTCCGATAGGTTTTATGTTTGGTTGCCGTAGCTGCTGCTCAATATAATTACAATCCCCAGACTTCTGTCACTATTGATGGTGGTGTTGGTGTGAGATCAGGCGACTTATCTGGCGGTAATAATGGCGGTGTTGTTGCTTCCGTCAGCAACGACTACGACAAGGAATTCTTCACCTTCTCCGCACCCGAAGCCGATTTCGTTGACAATACTGCCGCCGAAAAGATTGCCGGTGCTTTGAAGAAGAACTTGCGTGTTGTTTTCATCAAAGGCCCTGAAAATACTGGTCTCGAAAATGCTGTCGTACAATTGGCCAAATCCGCCTCCCAGGACCGTACTGCCATCTATGTGCTCAACAAACAAGCTGATATCGGAGAATTGGCCAACAAATTGAACACTTTGAACACCAACGCCAACAGCAAACCAGAAGTTCACTTTGTCAAATACCGCACCCAAGCTGATGCCGAAAATGCCCAACGTACAATTCAAGCTCAATATGATGCTTTGCCTGGTACTAGCAAGAGCGCTAACGGCGGTAATGCTGGAGTTTTGGACTTTGCCTCAAAGGTTACAGTACGGTCAAATGCCGGTTCGAAAGGTGATGTCGCTACTACCGCTACCTCCAACTCATACCTTCCACCACAATCGTCGTATTTGCCACCCGGCAGAAATTTCTAAATTGTTAAACGAAAGTTTTGATTTGTTATCTAGTTTTTAGGATAAGACTGTTGTTGTGCGTCTTCGCATGAAATAAATTTTTATAGTACAAATAAAATACACAATATTTTTTATAAAAACAATTTTGATTGCCTTTATCAGAAAACAAAAAAAAAAAAACAGAAATGAAAGCAGTAACATCGGACTCGACCAACAATATGATACCCTTCACCACTATATTGAACATATGCATCCTAACAATTTCATGTCAATGTTCCTTCGAAGGGACATACACAAGCCTTTCTGCAACCTATGATAAATGTAACTTCATTCGGGCAGATTTAGAGTTGTTTGCGTACAATGGGACAAATGAATGTAAATCCTTATATACCAAACTTGATACACGCTATTATGTATGCCGCGCTGTTGAAAATTTAATCACCTGCTACGTCTGCTACTGCACCAGTTTCAATTTGATGCGTTTTGCAAAATTTCGTGTCAATTGGACGAAAATATATATGTGGGAGCAATATCTAAACTGGAACCGATTTTCACGCAACTTAGCACACATCACTCTAGACGCAAATCAGTACGCTTTGCCAAATTTCGTGCAAAATCGAAAGACATATAGGGACGTTGGTGCACCATTTACATTAAATCGGACGAAAATGTATGTGGGAGCTATATCTAAATCTGAACCGAGTTTTTCGAAACTCAATTCAATACGCTATGCCACATTTGGCCCAAATCGATAGATATATAGGGACTTTGGTACACCATTTATATAAAATGGGACGAAAATATATATTTAAGCTCTATCTAAACCGTAACCGATTTTCACGTAACCGATGGTACACATCACTTTAGACTTAATTGAATACTCTATGATAAACTTCGTACAAATCGAACGAGTAGGGACTTTGGTACACTATTCACATTAAATCGGACGAAAATATATATGTGGGAGCTATATCTAATTCTGAACCAATTTTCACGAACCATCTCATGCGGAGCTGTATCCACAGATCTGCCTTTGATGTAGGCATGCTGGGATTTACTAAGTTTACTACGGTCAATGGTATTTCTAATTTCTGAGTCTAGTAACCTTTCTAAAGTTTTTAGTAGAAAGGAAGAAAGGCTAATCGGTCTATAGTCTTTAGGTAACGTATGACTCGGCTTCCCGGCTTTCGGGATGAAGGTCACGGTACCCTCTTTCATAGACTTGGTATGTACGACAGAAGTAAACAAGCTTTAAAAATGTCCTGCAGAAATGATATTATACGTTTATCTGCGTGTTGCAGCATGACCGGTATTATACCATCTGGACCAGGAGATTTATAGAGTTGAAAACTGTTTATCGCCCATATCAGTTATGCGTATCTTATAGTATCTTCTATCAACTTCTTCTCTTCCCTCGTCCGAACTGTAGGCTGATGCACACACTGCGCATCTTCCCTATAGTCCTTGCAACCAGGAAAGTGGGTTGATGATAGAAGACCAGAAGTGGGTTGATGTACAATTAACATAAAACCGATCGAAAATATGTATTGGAGCTATATCTGAACCGATTTTATTATATATTATACCTTATACCCTTCACCACACTGTGGTAGGGTTGTTCTAAATAGTTCAGTTAACTGACCGCTCTTTTTAGTTCAGTCCTTTTCAGTGAACTAGGTCGGCCTTCTAGTTCAATCGTTCGCGAAAGCTGAATAAACAGCTGTCGTTTTAGTTCGGTCGTTCTTTTAATAGTTAATGGCTTCATGAATCAATTTGCGTTTGCGTTCTTTATTGTCAAGTAACAACAAGATTTTTATTTACTTTTATTGGAATTGAAAAACCAGGTGTCCGAATTGTCAAATATAAGCTCTGGCGTCCCGCAGGGATCTGTGCTAGCACCGCATTTGTACAACATCTTAATGTACGATTTCCCTCATACCCAAGAAAACGCTTCGGGTATTCTGTACGCTAAAACGCGTTTAAAGTTTGAGAAGCCCTTTAGCCGTCACTTGATGCTGACACAATAAATCGGCTATATTTTCAAGAGTCCTTGAGATTTTCACTTGAAATTTTGTAGGGACATTCTTGAATTAGTGCAGAATCGCAGCGTACTGACGTCGCACCAGCACAAAGACGTTTAAGGGCGTACGAATATACACGAGGATATAAATTCTTTCTCTCCCTCCAACTTTCGAATGGGTTCTTTTTCGATCGAGATACTCCTCATTAATATATTTGTCGAATTCTCTGATGCCTGCTGCCCTTGTTATCAGAGTTCATAATCTGATCAGTTTCCTGATCGAAATTGGACCAAAATTCAAAGGTTTTGTCGGGCACTGTGGTCTTTGCAGCTCGTGGTTCTCTTCATCGCTCGGCAGAGTTATCGAAGATATTCGAGCCCTTAGGTTTGTTAAAGCGTTATTATACGCCATATCCGTTTTGAATCCCCTTCTTTTAAATCTCGGATCCAGAATTGTACTCTCTGCATAAAGGGGATTTCTTTCAAAATTTCCAAAACAGGCTTGAAGATCTCTTTCTATTATTCCCAACAATGCCGATACTTTTTCGTTGGTGGTGGAACTGCTTGCAATAAAGCTGGTTAAAATATTGCACATAACAATCACTTTTGAGAGAGTTACATCCTTCTCGGCCGATACCTCCACGGTAATTTCGTAAAAGGGCTTCAAAGCTTCAAAATAGCAGACGTTTCTTTAAGAATGTCCCACTCATCCAAAAGTAATAATAAATCTGGTTGGACCAAAAAAAATTTAAATTATTGCGTCTTTAAGCAATAGTATACGCTCAACCATCTCGTATGTTGCGTTCCACCTCGTTGGACCGACTGCTTCAATTTTATTTCGGGAAGACCCATCACTTGTTGGTTATTGAGCAGTTTCTTAGAATCCTTGGCGCTCCTTCGGAAGTGTTCCACAATATATTTCACTTTTGCCAAAGTATCCTTGATGCTTTTTAGTCCAGATTCCACTATTAAATTTTAGGAGTGAGCGAAACATCCAAAACATCCATTGTGCCTGTCGTATTGCAGCCGTTATGTTTGCCGCACTCTCACTCACTACTGCTGTTATTTTATTATCAATCTGAAAATCTGATAACGATTTTAAAAATTTAGTTAAATTATAGACAGTGTGGTCCTCTTTAAATTCCTTCCAGGAAAAAGTTAGACCTCAGGGTACTATTGTCATCTATAAAGTGAGCGGTCCATCCATCCGTTGTTAGGCATATAGCCGAAGCTGATGGTACTGCTTCTTTCACGGTGCACAAAATATCGTTGTACACTTTCGTCAGCAAATGTTTAGAAAGTGTTTGTCTCGTAGGTAGAGTATACCCAGGGCACTGTGACACAACCTCTATTAATTTCTTAAATTCAGGGTCTTCAACTATTTTTAGAGCATTGTGACCTTTCGCTACCATTTTCAACACTTGCCTATCGATCTCTTCCACCTTCCCACTTCCAGGGTCTGCGGATGTACTGGGCTATGGTTTGTTGTACATTTCGAATTTGGGTACTTGTGGTCGGCAAATCCACTTCAACCGGTGCAACATTTGGAGAAACCTGTATTTCCATGGGACTTCCTTGACTTTCCATCACCAAAGGGTGTTTGGTCCTCATATTTCGACTTAAATTCCGTGGGATCCCCCAGCGATGCTTGGCAATAATTGCATGTCGCCCGTGTCGAGCCATTTTTTTTTAAATGCATCCAAAGAGAACTATGTTTTCTTTTTAAAGACATATTAAAACTTTAGAAAAATATAATCGCTTTGATTCACAAAAAAAACTGGAAATTTTTTTGATTCAGAAAAAACTGCCGTAGTCTGTCAACATAAGATGCTAGGACCCTAAAAGGTTGGCAACATTTTTTATTATTTGTGTTTATTAAATGAAAACGATGTGGATATCGTATACAATACATTTAAGGGGACCCCCTTTTCTCGGTGTCAATTTTTTTATTTAATTCGAATCTACTCTAATTCTAGAATGTCCCTACAAAATTTCAAGTGAAAATCTCAAGAACTCTTGAAGATATACCCGATTTATTGTGTCAGCATCTATGACGGCAAGAGTGACTCTCAAACTTTAAACGCATTTTTCTCTAATAATGCAATCGGTTCCAAATTTTGACACGTTTCTCTGGGAGTGTATAGCTCTCGTATGAACTAGGATAAAGCCAGTCGGTGAAGATCTTCACTATTTTTTAACTTAGTTCGGGGTTAAAAATAGGCGATTTTCCAAAAAAAAGTTAAGTTCCGTCATTTTGTTAAGTGTTGTGCGAAGTTATCATGCCCGCCATCTAAAATAAGGACTTTTCTTTGATCACAAAAAAACAACAACAAACATTTGTTGTAAATTATTTTTCTTCCTTTTTAAATCTTCATATATATATGTGCAAAGTTTCAAGCCTTAACAGGCATTGGTAAAAATCGAGAATGGGAGGGATTCCCTTAAACGAAATCGAACTAGAACAGCTCACATTTGAACTGAAAGAAACGATTATTATAGTTCTTTGTTTTAATGAACTAAAAAGAACGATTTTGTAAGACCTAGTTCAATCGTTCTTTTAAGTGAATCGTTCATTTGAACTAGTTCGTTCGTGAACTGTACAACTCTACACTGCGGTACAGGGTACTATATGTTTGTGCATATGTTTGTATCAGGCAAAAGGAAACGAGATAGACACATGGTTCCTTCTGAGAATATGCATAGAATAACTTTTTAAGTCGATTTATGCATGTCCGTCTGTCCATGTTAAATTGTAAACAAAGTAAAGCTCGCATTTATGATCAGATTTGGATGAAATTTGGCATAGCTCATATATTTGGCCCAAGGAACCCTATTGAAATTGGGAAAAATCGGTTCAGATTTAGATATAGCTCCAATATATATTTTCGCCCGATTTAATGTAAATGGTATACCAAAGTCCCTATATATCTTCCGATTTGCACGAAATTTGACACAGCGTACTGGATTGAGACTATAATGATGTGTGTAAAATTTCTTTAAAATCGATTCAGATTTAGATATAGCTCCCGTATATATTTTCGACCGATGTAATGTAAATGGTTCATCAAAGTCCCTATATATCC